TTTATTTAATTCAACTCATTTCTTACAACCTTGATTATGTACTAATTGCTTATTGTGTGTATAATTACATTCAATTTCTTGTTCATTAATTGTTTGATTTAAGGACAATAATTTTGTTTTTTTGATATCCAGGTATCCCAACTTACACCAGACTATGTCCTGGACCACCCATTCCCAACCCCTCGGTGATGGGTGGAGGTTAACCGCAGGACATGTCCAAGTTAACCAGGGTCCGTGCACCCTTTATACTCGTGCACCCAAGGGAGCCTTTCTCCATGGATATTACATTACCAAACTGCTCCACTCAAATTGAGTATTACAACACTCAACTGCTCCATCCAGGAATCGAACTCCACACCCTGAGGTTGCAAATCTAGCAATGCCCGTCCTTTGCCAACTCGGATGTGCCCCAGAGGGCAACAATATTTAGATTGAAATGAGATATAGTCGTATAGTTCATGCAATAAGTGGCATAGACATTACAAGAGATCAAGAGATGATTATAGGTTATGGAATAATGATTTAATTACTAAAATTAAACGTGGTTACATATGTATGAATTTACATAAAGATGTAGTAAATTTAGGCAAGAGTTAGTTTTGCCAAAGAGAGCTTATTAACTTAAATTTGTTAATTCGATTAATGTTGATACATATGAAAAAGATGCTGAATGAATATTAAATACCTAAGTGAATCGAAATTTCTAACCACTTAATCCCAATAGTTCTCCTCCAATTTAATTAGTTAGGTTAATTTAGATTAGTTTAGTATAAATTAGTTATAACTTAAAATCTTAAATATTTTTATAGGTTGACCAAATTAATTTAGATTATAGTTAGAATTGGAATAAAAATTGATAGCAAGTATCAATCTTTTTGTGGCAACAATATTTCAACTCAAAAATTCACTTTATTATTTGTTACAATCCGTACACTTGCGGAATCAATCAATCAAGTTTTTGGGCACCCCCGTGAAAAAGAGATGACAAACCCCATGTTCTTGCATGCATTGTCACTGTATGAGTTCAAATGTATTTGGAAATTGTTTTCTTTTGGGATCTTCTTCTTCCTAATGGTTTAGTTTATCTATTGGTTCGTCATCAGTTACTTATTTATTATAGAAAAAAATTTCTGTTTGATGGAGTGCACTTTGAGATTACATACTCTAGTTTCATTATGGACGCTCAAGCAAGGAGAGAAATGATATCTAATTGCAAAGAGAGCAACTTAACATTCTAAGTTGCGTTGTAGTTATAGCACAGCTGCGCAGCGAAAT